CGCAACGACGCGAACACAATTTATCGTAGAAAACTGAATTGGGACAACAACATAGCGAGTGACCTAATAACAAGCTTGCGTGTATTCAAAGCGTGGCGCGAGGAAAAAAAAGTGGCCGTTTAAAAAACCGAAACGACGACACAAAATGGGCGCAAGAACATAACGTTCGCGTGACTTCGCTACCCGCGATCGAGACCTTTATATGTGATATAACTGTAAAACTACGCACGCTCGGCATAATAGAAACAATAGATTCCGAGATAATATCTTGGGAAAGTCTCAACATAAATCCCAACTAGAGATCCGGAAAAGTTAGTACTGCTTTTAGAAAAACATCAGGTAAAAACTCACTAATTAATCGTACATAATTATTCGGCCGCAATTCAGTCGCCACCGAAAAACTCCGTGTACCGAACGCACAGCCGGGACCTTCACAGCTGAGACCTTCACAGCCGGCACCACCAGCAACGCCGGCATCGACACCACCAGCGACGCTGGCAACTCCTTAACAGAAACCAAAAAGATGGCAAAGAGCTGGACGCAACCGTTACAACCTAAGAGGAAGAGGAAGAGGAGGAAGGGGAAGAGGAAGGAGTGGAGGGAGGGATATATATGACAGCAAGACCAAAAAATTTGGCTCTAAAATTGTGGCTAATAAGATATAAAATAGCAGCACTATATATATAAGCTTACAGCTATTGATATTTAATATTTTGATACCATTACATTATAATAATCGGAATTAATTGGTAAACAACTACAATTATTAAATAAATAATTTTATAAAACATTTTATTTGTGTTGCATCGTGTAAATCAAGTTATAAAAATAATTAAAAAAAATTAAAATAATTAAAATGCAATGTCTGAAATTCAGTATTTTATTCAAAAAGAAGGCCTTACAGCGTTCAAAAATATGGATAGATCACAGTTTCATAGAATTGGAAGTTAAAAAAATTTATTCTCATTGAATAATTAATAAAAAATATATTTTATATTCCATAAAACTGATTAGAAAGACGTAAAATACCAATCAGCATACAATCAATTTGTACATAATTTTTATTCATAATCGTGCGCAACACACATCAAATAAATTAGTCATAAATTACAGCGTATAAGACGCGAAATACTTGTACGTCTTTAAATAAGTCACTGTCCAGTTAAGGATTAAAAGACTGCGGAAACAAACAGCGAGACACTCACGTTAAAAGGGTGCAAAAGAAAGGAACGTGAATCGTGGAAACCTTCGCCCAGTGCTTTTCTCGTCTCTTATCTCTCCGGCAGATACGTTTGTAGTTGCAGCGTTCGTTGTTGCAGGCGGCGCGAAGAAGAGGGGAAAAAAAGAAGAGGAAAAATAATCATGAAAGAGACGAGGCCAGCGCGCGAAAAGTACTATCCAACGTGCCCGCGTACAAGTAAGACCTGCAGAACAATCGTACGCGTTCTCGCTCGCACTTTTAACGAGCAAACTTTCGACAAATAAATTTCGCGAATCAACGCGCGTTTCGCCCGAAGCAGGCGCCCGTTCGTTACGCGACTAAAAATGCGAGCGTCGGGTAGGGATGTTCGATTCCGATTCGATTCTTTAAAAGATCGATTCTTTTGGTCAAAGAATCGCTTTTTTTAATCGATTCTTTGCTATTCGATTTCTTTGCGAATCGATTCGTTACTCTCAGAATCGAATAACCGATTCGTTTTTTCTGCTTTGGCTAATATATACATATATATATATATTTTTTTTCGGTCCGAGTTTCGGTTTAAGCCAATGAAACTGCTGCTTTTCTGTAACAGCTGCAAGTTGATTGGCTTAAACCGAAACTTGGACACAGTTCGTGCATCGTGGACACCGGAATTAATGCCCGTATCACACTCAAGCTATATCCACACAAACTTGCAAAAGCCCATAAACATAAGCATAAGAGAATTGATTAATCCATATGCATGTACATAAGGATAAGGAAATAGACCAATCCGTTTCTTTATGCATATGGTTATGCACCTATGCAAGTTTGTCTGATGGATAGACCTTCAAGGATGCCAGACTCTGGCATCCTTGAGTGTGATACGGGCATTAAATGGGAGCGTCCAACACGCGCGCAGCGCGCAGCACCCTTGCGCAGATGTTTAAACGCGCAACGCGCGTACAGAACGAGTGGGCACGTGTACAGCTAGGATGGTAGGTAATGGGCAAAAATAATTGCTTTCCATTTACACTAAAGTAATACTGAATCTGTCAGTTATGTCAGTATTTTATACTCAGATAAGATATGTCATTTTGTACTTAACCTGCTTATTTTAATGACAATTATCGCATAACAATACAGGTTATACAATAAGAATTATCTGAGTTTTGATGCAAATGGAAACCAACTAGTGTAACACAGTAAATTATTTTATTTTGGGGAGCTTTCCAGCAAGAGACACATATCAACATAGAGAAAGTCATTCTCTCTTTGTTTGATATTCAGTGAAAGACAAAAACAGAATGATTCCTGTGTCGATATGTGTACCCTGCTGGAAAGCTCCCTTTGTTGTTTGCAAATGTTAAACAAAGATGAAATAATACTTTCATATTGCATGGTTTTATTTTCATTTCATAACACGCCTTTGCATTGTCTTCCTTTTTTCTCACAGCATTTTTGTAACATCTCCTGTACTTCTCCTTGAATGTTAATGGTGACTGACTTGGTGTTTGGTGTTAAACAAAAAACAATACAAAAAGTGGGTATACTTGCTAATGCTGAAGTATACTTTTTCAAAATGTTGAACATCTCTTTTCCTAATCTAATCTTTTTAAATTATTTTTTCTTTCCTTTATTCTTTTCTTTTAATTAACATTTTTCAAGAAATAAAAAATATATATTTTTCATTGTTTGCATTTTATTACAAGAATATAAAAATATGTTTTACAGTGCCTAAAGTAAAGCAATCTTCTATTTGGAAATTTTTCATAAAGAATCCTGATAGTGGTAATGCTACATGCAACATTTGTAACAGAGAAGTGAAGTCTGGTAGAAAAAGTGGTGGTACAACTAATTTCAAAAATCACTTAAGACGAAATCATGCAAAAAATAAAGAAGTGAGACTATATTTAGGGAAAAGTGAGAATAGTAATGAAAAGGCTCCTAATTCTGAACAAGCAAATAATTCGGTAAATCAATATCTTACAATATTTATATGCATCTTTTGATCATTTTATCGCATCATTTGTTTACTCTTGTTGTTTATTTTCAGAATCAATTATCAATATCAATGCCATCTACCTCTACAGCCAATACAGCCATCCCTATCTGGATCTAATTTGGCAACTCCTCTTGTTCTTCACCAGTACCTAGCTTGTCAGAATCAGAAAGCAGATTTTCTTATTCGGATAAACAATCTGTAATCAAACCAAGGATCGATAGTAGTTTTAAACAAATAAAATCATTTGGAGATAACATTTATATACATATAATGGATCGAGAGGGGCACCCGCCATGGCACTACGTTCATTGGACGTTAGAGTCTGTATTTAACACCTATGGAGGCGAATGAACGTAGTGCCATGGCGGGTGCCTCTCTCGATCAAAAATTTAAACTTTATTGAACCTGTGCATAAATTCATAATATTTATCTTTTTAGAGGGAGGTACAAGAGCAGGTGGAATCACTAATGCCATCCTTTTTATGATTGCCAAAGACAATATGCCTTTCCAGACAGTCGCCGTCGGGCTGCAGTCCCTTAACTGCGAACGAGTTGCATCCGACTGACGTCACGCGTACCGAGCGCGCACCGTGCCTATAGTCACTTGTAGCCCCCACTTCGTCCCTACCAATCGTGTTGACGAGAAGCCGTTAGCCGCGGCGCGGCGCCCGCGACCCGCGCTACATTATTCACATTATATTAATTGCGCAGCTTCTTCGTCGTAAGTTGCGTCGTAACTTGCAGTGAATATCGGAACGCAGCCATTATTCACATCATATTAATTGCTCTCGGATCGTAGATCGTAACGTCGAGTAACGTACGTATCGTCAGACCCCGTTTTCGGAAGATTGCGGAAAACTGTGATACATCGAATGTTTCTGTGATACATGTGCTTCAGCCTTCGCGGAATTTATACGGATGCCCAAAATACGTCGCATTCGATAATATTGACTATCGGCTATATACATTTACGTATAAAAAATGTTGGTTACATACTTAAAATGTTAATTGGTATTAACCGCTAGTTAAACATCGGCATCGCGTAAACTTGAGTTTGAACTCGGAGATGATCGCCGCCGAACGAGATCGATGCATCGAATCGCGCGATGCAAATTGCGAAACGCAGCGTCGGTCGGACCACCACATCAATTTCAGACTCGCCGTTCGATTGACGAACCGATCGTTAATCGCTTCGCGAGCAAGCTCCGAGAAAAAGCGGCAAAAATCCGCGGGGAAAATCGCGAAAAAAAATGGAAATGAAAAGGAGAACGAGGAAGCAGGAACCCAGACCGGACTGGAACCGAAACCGAAAACCGTATACCGTAATCGGTATTATTGTCGGACCGGAACCGTAAACCGTGTGGAAATTTTGTAAAGCCTATAGGACTGGAATCGAAACCGGTACCGTTAAAAGTCATTATATCTTGAAAAAAATTAAGACCAGAAGATGAAAACATAGAAAACAATGAAGAAGCAACATCTAGGTATACGTCAAAATATCATCACTTATTATATAAACAATTCAATTTAATAAAAATTTCAATAAGAAAATTTTAATAAATCGGAACCGAAAAAACTCTGTAATGCGTAATACCGATACTTTTATTAGCTAAAAAACCGAAATCGAAAACGAAACCTTTATAAGTAAGTATTTTAATGGACCGAAACCGGAATCGAAGAAAAAGAAAGAACTGTTGCCGATATGCAAAAAGAGGGGTTCGTGCTGCAAAATGTCGCGTTCTCGCACATTCGAGGCATACATCACCGCGGCACCGGTGCGACGCGGGAAGAGAGATTAAACAAATTGCGCGCTTACGAACGAGAAGCGGTATAACTTATCGGCCAGGAAAAAAGCGGCGACAATGACGGCACTACTCACGGGACGAAGCGACGTATCCACGTGACGTTCGGATTTAAAAATCCAAGATATTTGTCCAGCGTACAGAAGAACTTTCCCGACGGTACGAACGTGCAAATTACCAAAGATACCAAAGAAACGATCCGACGTTGCATCGACGTGGACGAGAAAGGCACAGAAATATTTCAGATGGGCGAAATCCCAAATTATTGCCGTAAAAAGAAGAAGGAAACCTCCTCAATGTTGCTGGCAGCTCGCTCCTGTTCGTCTTACGGGCAGGCAATGAAATTAATCGAGAACCTAAACTTGGCGTATTACGTTCAGAATCTGAAGAAATTAGCGGCATATTTCAACGGTCATTCTTGCGAATCCGACCGCGCCCTGTACGAAGCGAAAGATTTCGCTGAACCGTTGTTCAATTTACCGGACCACAAAACTACGATATTCGTCGGCCCGGTGAGTATTTCGCGCGCGCGCGCGTGCATGCACGCATGTGTATCCATCTGTCCATCTCGAAAAAAGTTTCTGAATTAAATGTAAATTTTTCGTTCGTTTTATTCACGTCCGCAGACGAGAATCGGTAAGACGCAATTCGCGCTTGCACATTTCGCCAATCTAATCATCATACGCGGCAAACAGGATTGGCTGAGATTCAACCCGGACAAAACCGACGGTATCGTTCTCGACAATATATAGCTTTCCGCAAATGGCTGCCGGAAACACTTCTCCATACAATGGAGTGCAAGACGGCCACTACGCAGGATGTAAAGTACTCATTCGTCAGAATACCCGCAAGAACAAAAAAAATCGTTTGCATCAATATCATGGAGACGTTTTGGCCGGATAGAATACTCTAGTGTACGAGAGACGCGATCCAGGCGAGGATCGAGGTGCATATTTTCCACGGACCACTGTACAACGGCAAACGGACGACGTCGAACGCGATAGAAGAATGCGGTGGTGCGAGTGGCGCAAACAAAAGGATTTGCGCCACGTCTTCCGATGATTGAAGAGCCGCGCACATTATTTTCGAGGAGCGGTACATACTCGTCGAGTGAGCGTTGAGAGGATAAACTCACACACGGTGGATTGTAATCAGCGTCAACACTATTCATATTCACACTGTGGTTTCGAATGTCTGTTTATTGTATTCCTATTATTTTTACAAAGTCCGTTTACTGGTAAGATGCACAGTAATGCGCTCGCGTTTATTATTCGGATATAGTATGTTCGCGTACTCGGTCACGACAACGTCTTGAGGATGTGCCCCAGGTCGAGCCGATTGCTGCATGTAATGACGCGTAAGACACACGCGCACGTCGCGACAATGCCTCGACAAGATGCTAATACGGCCCTCTGATTGGCTGATGACGCCTTAAGACTAGAGAACGCGAAATTAACAAGGAATGAAACGCGAAAATAATATGCGTCGTATTATCCGCGCGTTTTAATTAAGCAGGCGGTCGTCGGCTGCTCGTCAGGATCACAAATTAATTAGACAACGTCACATTAAACATCAATATCGGTTGAAACGCAAACAATTTTAGATCGTACATTTGTCGTGAGACAGTGCCCGCACGTGTCGTACTGTTGCGCGATGCCACTATCCTGTTAAAATAAATACGCGCGCGCTTGCATTTTTCAGGACAGTCCGGTGCAGTAGGTCCTGACCACGAGTTGAAGCTTGACGGACCCTTGATTTAGAACTTCAAAAATTTGTCTGTGCTACTGTCTGTGCTACTGCGCGTTTCGAGATCGAACAGAGTTAACCCTTAACTGGCACACTTCACCAGAAGGCACACTTCACATAGCTGGTACTCGGAATACAGTTCTACTACAGTTCACGGAATATGGCTCTGCCACCTTATTCATCATCAGATAACATGTATGTCCCCGAAAAAAACCACACCCCATCTTCCCGGCTTAGAATGCACGTATTTTGCGAGCTCATAAATTAATAAACGATATTTAGTCGCAAAATAATTAATTTTATTCATTTTAAGTACAGTTCTCTCTTAAGCCGGGAAGATGGGGTAGTTTTCTTGCGAAGGGGTTGTAGATTGTATCAATAATCGAAATGCGCGTATTTTAAAAATTTATTCTTAGAATTTATACGCTATACGAATTATATCCGCGATACGATATATTTTAATTTTTCTTAACATTTTTCTCTTGAGTTGAATCAATTAAAGGGTTGTTTGGGGGTTAAGGGGATGAGCTCAAAAATCGAAACTATATCACTTCGAAAGCTCATAAATAGCTCGTAATTCTGCCGCAAAGATCGATTCAATATCTCTATTTTTAAGAAAACGAGTTTTTCAGAATTAAAAAAGAAAGAAGAGAAAGAAAAGTAGGAGCAGGAAAAAGTGAGTAACGAAAAATACATTACAAAAAGATCTGAGGTCATAGAAAAGATAGAAATAAATATGTATAAAGGAGAGTTACCGCGTGCGTAGGCTGAGTCAACGTTGACTCAGCCCCCCCACAAAAAATATTAAATTCCTGCCCAGTGTAACGAGCTCAAAATTTTTAATCTGCGGGATATGAAAGCTCATAAATAGCTTGTAATTTAGCGCTATTTACTTTTTAATTTCTGCAAGGTGGGGGGGCCAACTCAACAGGGGTGGTCATATTTGTGATCGTTATATTTGCGTGCGTTGGTTTTTTTTTTACTTTTTTTTTACTTTTTTACTTTTTTACCGGGCATGTTAAATTTCCATGTTTTTTTATTAACAGAGCAACAGATAATAAGTTTATCATTATCTATTTAATTAGTATAAAAATCAGGGACCCGGACCGTACCGGACCGGAACCGAAACCAAAAACCGTACTGTAACCGGTATTTTTATCGGACAGGAACCGTAAAAAATTTTGTAAAGTATGGAAATTTTGTAAAGCCTATAGGACCGGAATCGAAACCGCGGTACCGTTAAGTCATATCTTAAAAAAAATTAAGACCAGAAGATAAAACAATGAAGAAATGTCATCTACGTCGAAATGTCATCATTTATTATATAAACAATTTAATTTAATAAAAATTTCAAATAAAAAAATTTTAATAAATCGGAACCGAAAAGACTAATTTGCGCAATACCGATACTTTTGTTAGCTAGAAAACCGAAACAGTTGTTTATATTGCGTCTAGACATTTCTTTGTGTTCACGTTATCTTTGTTAGGTGTATTAGAAAAAACTGACTCCGAATCTGTATTGGAATTTCCGTCCTGTGTTTTCTGATTGGCCTTTGTTTCGCATACTTTGCTGCCATTTCTGTCTATTTCCCACAATTCATTTCCCTCGAACAAGTTACGTCATTGAATTCAACGATATTTATACTAGATTTCGATGTATCATCAAATTCAACACTATCATACAATATCTTCATTTTATCGTTTGGTTTAAACCTAACTGTGATGACAATTTGGTTGGGTGTTGTCTTGTCTTTCATCGTTTTTATAAAATCTGACATATCGTCGAATCGCTGATCAATATTATCCTCAGGCAGAAAAATTTCCTCTTCCATACGGGTCGGTCATGTTTAAAAAATATTGTTCGCCAGTATCTCATTTCTCTCCGATTATGCGAGCCTGATTTATTTTCTGCGCCGCTCTTATGTTCTTTACTTGATATATCCAAATTGTCAGGAGTACTGCGTATCAGTTGTTTTATTCTCTTCTTATTATCGACCAATCAATGGGCTTCGTCAAACCATGTCTACCGTACAAACTTCTAAATGTTTCAAAATCTTTCGTATCGTTATTTTCACCGTCGAAATCTCTAATACTGAAGTCCATATAACCGGGAAAGTCATATATTTCATTGTTATTCTGCAATTTTACTTCCCTACTTGAATCGATTTGTCTTGCATTATTTTCATCTGTGTTTGTCCCGGACGTGGAAGTGCACGGTATCAGCCTAAGTGACGAAAGCAAAAGGGAAAAGATCAGATAAAGTGTGACGTCTGACAAAGTCGTAGTAAAATTTTGGATTTTAGAAAATAAAAATGATTGTACGGATATCAATCAATCTGTGAATATCTAAAGAAGCTCAAAGTATAACAACCGATTAAATTAGGCAACTGTAAATAATAATTCGGAAAAATTTATCACTTTACGAGATCATATTGTTTGTATACCGACTAGTATAATAATTCCACACACGTATAACTTTTTACAGACTCCAAATTCTTCATTACAATGCAGTAGAATGACAACCACGGTGACATCATACAAAGTTCAAATTTTTCCCGGAATTAAACTAAACTGATATCCTAATATTCGCTGTGTGCGCAGAGACTAGTGCTGCCACGGTTAGTGAAATATCGCACTTTTTGATGGAATAGCTGTATGGAATAACTGTCAACGATTGTGAATATTCGAGCTACGTGTAAACTGTCGTTAGGTAATTTAAATCTTAATTTCAATGATGATATTACAAAAATTATAGTTGAAAAGATTTTTCGAGAGAAATTAACCTACATTTGTTTTAAAGGTTAACCTCTTTCTGACTTTTTGCAATGAATCTTATTATACGAACGGGATTTGGACCTGTCACTCATGACATTAAATTTAATCCAAGTTCAATACCAAAAGGAAAAGACTTAGCAATATCGCATGTGGTTCGCGTTGAAGAATTGCGTAATGAAAATATAAGCCATTTAATAAGGTGCAGTGTAATACCGCAAACATCTGTCAATGCTATTCCGTACAAGGTACAATTACATGTAAGTATATCAATATTAATAAAATTCAAGTCAATCGTAAATAAATAAAAAAACGTTTAAACAAGAACAAAAAATTATTGTTTTGATTATTTATTCAAAATACATTATTGACGCGTTTTTACACGAAACGAAAGAATCTGGAAGAAAAACGCGGCAGTCTGCCTCGCGAAGCGAGATATTAATCGTTAAAGTTGACAACTATTTAGGTTTTACCTGTCATATCATGAAATGTAGCGACATGTACATGCCCCGTAGTCACATGTCGATTAAGCATAATTTTATTGATATTGGAGGTAAGGCCCGTATTCTAAATAAATACCATTATTTTAAACGAGGTAAAATATGATCATATAATCTCAAAGAATATACTTACTTTATTTTTTGTACCCAACGTATCCACATTTTTCGCTGCTCAATTTTATAAATCGCTTTTGGAAAGGAATAAAATTTTATTTCTGAACTTGTATTGTGAAATACATTCTTACACGTGTTCACGCAACAATTTAAATTTTCTTTCCGCAATTTTTCCATTACGATGTATTAGAAAACTCCAGCAAATAATGCAAATTCCGGCCACCATGGGCGCTCTAAGTCCTACTTTTCCGCTATA